AGAGTGGCATTCTTTAGACCCCGGCACCACGACCGGTAGTCAGCAGGGTGTGGATGGAGGGCTCAATGTGAAAAAGCAATGAACTCCTCAAAGCGACAACTGACCCTTTTAGTTAGGTCTGTTAAAGAAAGCTGAACGACATAAATGGTACTTGATTGTGCCCCAGTTGCACCACACCTCTCAATATTGCTTGTTTTCCTCAAATTACATGATAATTACTTAGTTTTACCTATTAGGCTAGACATGGCGTCATCGTTAGCCTCCTCTTCTATTCATGGTGGTGTAGCCGATATAATTCGAAAGCGGTTCACTCCAGCAGAAGGAGAGGAACTTCCAGAACAGCAGAAAGCGATCCTTGACAAATTGGAAGACTGCAAGTCAGGAGAAGGCCCATTCAGTTCACTCATTTTGTCCGAACTGGAAAAGGTGGGTGAATATTTTGCTAGTCAAAAATCGTATTTCTACAGTCTCCTGAAGAATATAGGACATTTTCTTAAGATTAGAGAGAAGGAGGAAGAGGAACTGGCAACGCAGCAGAGAGAAGAATTCACAAAGTGGCATAAACGACGACAGGAATTGATAAAGGCCCAAGCGGACCGCCTTCTGCTGAAGGTATTCTTAATTCCAACGATTCCATGCTTCAGATTTGATCAACCTCTTCTAGGTTCGTGCCGAAGAGATCGGAAAAGAACTGGCTGAACTCGAACACTATGAAGAAAAACTAAGTTTCTTCGAAAATCGTTTGAAATGGGAGAAGCAGGCCGCTCAGAACGCTGAAATTGCTGAACAAACCGCTCCGAAAGAAGCTGAAGCCGAGAAATAGAAGATCTGCCGCAAACGTGCTAATCATATTGGCCCCTTGTTCTGTTCTACCTCTGCATTGTTCATCGAACTTGAACTTTTCCTCAACGAGATTATTAGGCGGTTGTGTAGGGTCTAGAGGTGTGCGCCCTGCGTCTGCTGCGTCCTGGCGCTGCGAGTCGGGAGACGGGCAATATTACCGCAAGCCAACGAGATCTCACGTCATCAGAGTTCCGCTACTGTTTCCACGCGAGTTTCCTCTGGAGCAGAGGATTTCCTTTTGTTCGTTGGTAGCAATGGCGGGAATCCCTCTAATAATTCGAGTCATGAGGCAATACAGCTCGTACCGCGGCCACCCGCTAGAGCCCGCTCTGCCTACTCTCTGAGCAGTATTCTACGTCTCGTATACAACCGTATCTTCGGCGCGCCCATCAGCTTCACCGCCCTTGGAAGGAGGACGTCTAACAAAGACGCCCCAACTGCTGTCTACCTCCGTTATGGTGAAACGTGCCTCGTGCTCTCCGCTAATCGTATGCTCAGAAATATAGAACCACTTCATTGGCACGCCCCTCCTCGTCACCGCCTTTGGAAGGAGGACGCACCTGTGAGAAAGCCACAACTGTTGTCTGTCTCCGCCCATATGGTTATGCTTATAGTGGCTTCAAGAGCGGTAAAATCCGAGCATCATAACGCCTACTAATTTCATTTGAAGGATTGAAATTTTCCAAGTTTTAGAATAAGCTAGGATCGATAGTTTATTTATCTTTGTTAGGATATTGTGCAAATTGAATTAGGTTTTATGGTTTTTAAATCTGAAAAGTCCTCATTGTTATTATTGTTGATTTTTCTTGTTAATAGTGTAAAAATATCATAGATTTCTTCTGTATCTATCATCTCGAGAGGTCAAGACCATGTATGTTCTGCTTTTGAAGTTTTGCTTTAACCTTTTTAACTTATTCGATATCAGATGTCATCTCAAAACCCTGCGAAGTCGAAGGAGTTAGATAGCAGATGCCGATTGTGTGAGTTTACAGCTGATGTCTTCGCGGTCAGTCGGGGCGGTGTCAAGAGGCATGAAGTCGGCCACCCGCGTCATTTCCTCACAGTGGTTGGGTTACATCTGAATCGGCCACTATCGGAAAGAAATGCAGCCTAGTGTAGACCCTTTTCACGCCTCCTGATGATTGATTGTGACGATATCAACAAAATGTCAATTCAATATGCCTATAGTTCAAAGCACTCACTGTATGATGATTACCTGTGAGGTGACCTGGAGGAAATTGAGCAAGGACCCACAGCTGCAGAAGTTTGGCAGTAAAGGCGCTCGAAAGCAGCGCGCCACTGTGACCAATGAGGCTTGATGTCAGGGGACAGCATCGTTGTGCCAAACCCATGGGGGGTCGTACCTGGCCGATGGAGAGGGGGGGGGGTCGTAATCTCAAGGGTCACTCAGAGCCGAGCAATGGTTCGACATTTCAGTTGATAGTGGGAGTGGAGCTATGGAAGTCAAGATGTTTAAAAAAATGAAGTTTAATGAGTGTA